TAGCGTTCGCCGCTCCTGGAGGTCTCCGTAGGTTCGACGAAGAAATGGGCCCCCGCACTCGGGGGCCAAGCCGTGTTGTGCGCTCCTGAGTCCACGGCGACGATTATCGTCACTGCGTCGCTGTGCCGGCCCATCGCCAGTGCCTCATTAACTTCATTGTCGGCCCCTCCATGTCCAATAGCTGCAGGTCGGCGTGCGTTTGTATCAAACTTTTCTCCTTGTTGATGCACTCAGTGATCCAATGGCGCCGTGGTCGCCGCTGACACTGCGCCCGCGTGGTGCTTGCCTCCTCTTGATCCCTAGCCTTGTCACCCTTTTCCTCTTCTTTCTTTCATGGTGCTGTGCCCTCCGCTCCCGTGGCTCTTTGCCGGATCTGGTGCTGCGATGTTGCCGGTGACTCCACTTGCGCCAGTGGCCTCGCTCGCCCACGTCGAAGCTGTAGCATCCTGGTCCAGGCGCGGGCTGCCTTGAATCTGCGCGGGCACTCCTACGCCTCCTGCCCCTGCTTGACTTCGGGGGCCCTCGTTGGCGTTTTCGGGGCAGCAGGCTGCGATGTGACCCGTTTCGCCGTATGTGTATCATGTTCGCTCACTGATGGGCGCAAATCCTCCCGTGCCTCGTCTCCTCCAGCCTGGGGCATGCCTCCCTTTGTGACCTCGGGGGTCTCGTGGCCGCCCCTTGACGTCGCCCCCGGGTGGCCCTTGGTGCTTGGACACCCCCATTTGTACCCTCTTTCCTGCGCCCTTTGGTCACCCGGGATTTTTTTGCATTCCCTCTTCCACCTCCTTTTCCGTGGTTCCTGTAGCGGCGCAGCGTTTGGAAATGTGTCGATATCCTGCACGCTCGTAACACATGGTCCCTTTCCCTCAGCTTCTTCCTTTGTCCGCCTTATTCGTTTTGCCGTTTCCGCTCATGTCTACCACTGTCCAAATCCACCAGTTTCCGCTTTCGTCGTCGTGACCGGGTCGTTCACGACCGTGGTGCAGATGTTTTGGTTGGCGACAAGATTTAACGACCCTGGCGTCTTGAACCAGTCCTGTTACAATCGTCGAACCAATCGCCTGCGTGAGCCATGGCCATCGTCAGCGCAGTAATCCTACATGGCAATGGTCACGCATCTGCAGACCCATACTTTTCCGGGGGCTCTACCAACGCACAATACTGCTCGGGGTCGCCACATCGTTTACCTTCTTGGTTTTTCAAGGTTCATGGCCTGACTCATTCTGCGGGCTTGCGTGACTCGAGCCACGGCGGAATGCGATTTGTATACCTTCTGGTCTGCCATTCGCCCGTCGCTCTCATGTCGGCCTCTAAATTTTCCAAGGGGCTCCGCCTCCTCCAGCTAGAGATTCAGCAAATTCGGCGCCGTGCCTCTTGTCCTAAGATCGTTTGCCTAATCCTTTAAGCCTCAATTCTCACTCCTGGGGAGTCTTATAAGGGACTTGGGCCCCAACGCCAAGACGGCCTGAGAGCGCCCCAAGACGGCCCCCCAAATGCCAAAGAGGGCCCAAAAAAGGATCCAAGAGTGGGAACACGAACCGAACATCCCAATCTTCCGCCTCAAAAGGCCCCCAAAAGGCTCCCAGGAGGACCCGAGAAATGCCCAAGATACCCCCAAAGCCCCCCGAACGGCCCCCAAAAAACCCAGTCAAAAACCCTCAAGGCCCCCCAACGGCCCCCATGAGGCAACCAAACTGCCACCAAAAGGCCCCCGAGAGGCCACCCGCGAGATCCCAACAACCATCCAATCAATTTTATAGCCACAACCCAAGCATGGTGGCGGGATGGGCCGGCAACTTCTTAGATCCGCCGCCCCCTGTCGATTCATCGCAGGGGTGCCCGGCGTGCAGACTATTTCGGTTTTGGTTCTTCTTCCAAAAAAACTCCCCCTGGGGCTTCGGCCCGTCCCGCCGGGGTCCCGGAAAAATCTTCCAGGGCTGGAAACGACCTCAACTTCCGCAACAAATTCCCCAAGACGGCTCAAGATGGCCTCCAAGATGGCCACGTTGGCCCAAGATGGCCTCCAAGACGGTCCAAGATGGCCTCCAAGACGGCCCAGGAGAGGAGGAGATGTCTCCAAGTCCGCCCAAGAAACCTCCAAGACGGCCCAAGACGACCCAAGAGGTGCCCAAGAGGCCTCAAAGACGGCCCAATGGGCCTCCGAGAGGTCCAGAGAGACTACAATCATTGATTTCCTATTTTTTGTTATATATATATATACAAATACGAATTGTTTCGTATTTGCTCCTTTTCGGCTTTCCGACGACCCAAGACGACCCAAGAGGCCCCCAAGATCGCCCCCACAGCGCCCAAGAGGCCTCCAAGATGGCCTCAGGACTACCCTAGAGGCCCCCCAAGACGGCCCGAAGAGGGCACAACGACGACCCAAGAGGCCTCCAAGACACCCACGATGGCCTCTAAGACGGCCCTAGAGCACCCCAAGATGGCCCCAAATCGGCCCGCCCCCCAAACGGCTTCCGACGGCGTCAGACGGGCCAGGAGCCTACCAAGATGGCCGAAGTTGGCTCGAAGCTGGCCCAAGACGGCCCAAGAGGCCTCCAAGAGGGCCTCCAGGCAGTGATGTTCCTTGGGTGTTTGACGGATTTTGACATTTACTTTTTTTCAACCTTCCGACGGCCCGAGACGGCCCAAGAGCCCCCAACGATCGCCCAAAGATCGCCCAAGAGGCCTCCAAGATGGCCCCGCCCCAAGAGGCCCCCAAGACGGCCCAGGAAACTTTTAAGATGCCCAAGATGGCCTCCAAGCCGGCCCTGGAGCATTCCAAGAATGCCCCAAATCTGCCCAGAGAGGCCCCCCAAACAGCTTCCGACGGCGTCGGACGGGCCAGGAGCCCACCAAAACGGCCGAAGATGGCCCTAAGATGGCCCAAGACGGCCCAAGAGGCCTCTAAGAGGGCCTCCAGGAAGGCCAGACAAATGACAAAACCATTTATTTCCCATGAGTTTTTGAAGGATTGTGGCATTTACTCTTTTTCGGCCTTCCAACGGTCCGAGACTGCCCAAACGCCCTCAAAGATCGCCCAAGAGGCCCAAGACGGCCCCAAGGGGCCCCCAAGACGGCCTCCAAGACGCTCAAGATTGCCTCCAAGACGGCCCAAGAGGCCTCCAAGACGTCCTCCCAGAAGGCCCGAAAGGGTCAAAATGGCCTCCAGACGGCCAAGATGACTCTCAAGATGCCCACGTGTTCCCCGAATGCTTTCCAAACCGATTCGGGTATCACATGGTCCGATAGCTTGGCAGGTCTGGCCTCACCGTTCGGCCACATAGGCGCTTCCAAAAAGGCAGGGGGCGGCGGTGATTCGCCGTAGGCGTCTTCGATCCACCGCCCCCCGTTGATTCATCACAGGGGTGCCTGGCGTGCTGAACCCTCTCGGTTCTGGTTTTGGTTCTTTTTCCAAAAGAACTCACCCGGGGGCTTCGGCCCTTCCCGCCGGGGTCCCGGAAGGATTGCCCAGGATCTTCCAGAGCCGGTTGCAAATAGTTGTCCTGCCTCAGGCGGCTCCAAGGTGGCATCCAAGACGGCTAAGATGGCCCCAATATACATCCAAGACGGCCTAAGATGCACCCAAGACGGCCTGAGATGGCCTCAAGATGGCCTAAGACGGTCCAAGAGGCCCCCAAGAGGCCTCCAAGACAGCCAAAGAGGCCTCCAAGAGGGGCCGACGAGGCCAAAATCATTGATTTTCCATATGTTTTTGAAGGATTTTGGCACTTGCTTCTTCTCGGGATTCCGACGGCTCAAGACAGCCCAAGAGGCCCCCACGATCGCCCCAAGGTCGCCCACGAGGCCTCCAAGATGGCCCCAAGACGGCCCCAAAGGCCCCCAAGATGGCCCCAAGAGGGCCCCAAGACGGCCCAAGAGGCCTCCAAGACGGCCCAAGAGGCCTCCAAGACGGCAAAACTGGCCCCAAGATGCCTCCAACACGGCCCAAGATGCACCCAAGACGGCCAGAGATGGCCTTCAGATGGCCTAAGACGGCCCAAGAGGCCCCCAAAAGGCATCCAAGACGGCCCAAGAGGCCTCCAAGAGGTCCTCCAGGAGGGCCCGAAAAGGCTAAAATTATGGATGTTCCTTTGGTTTTTGACGGATTTTGGCACTTGCTTCTTTTCGGTATTCCGACGGCTCAGGACGGCCGAAGAGGCCCCCAATGTCGCCAACGAGGCCTCCAAGATGGCCCCAAGAGGGCCCAAGGGGCCTCCAACACGGCCAACATGGCCTCCAAGACGGCTAAGATGGCCCCAAGATGCCTCCACGACGGCCAAAGATGCACCCAAGACGGCCTCAGGTGGCCTCAAGATGGCCCAAGAGGCCCCCCAAAGGCATCCAAGACGGCCCCAAAGGCGTCCATGAGGTCTTCCAGGAAGGCACGACGAGGCCAACATCATTGATTTGCCTGAGGTGTTTGAAAGATTTTGGCATTTGCTTGTTCTCGGGATTCCGACGGCTCAAGACAGGCGCAAGAGGCCCCCAAGATCGCCCAAGAGGCATCCAAGATGGCCCCATGGCATTTCGCCTTTTCGGCCTTCCGACGGCCCACGAGGCCCCCAAGATCGCCCCAAGATCGCCCAAGAGGTCTCCATGATGGCCCCATGACGGCCCAAGAGGCCCCCAAGATGCCCCCAAGAGGGCCCCAAGACGGCCCCAAAGGCCTCCAAGACGCCCAAGATGCCTCCAAGACGGCTAAGATGGCCCCAAGATGCCTCCAACACGGCCCAAGATGCACCCAAGACGGCCTGAGATGGTCTCCAGACGGCCTAAGACGGCCCAAGAGGCCCCCAAGAGGCCTCCAAGGCGGCCCAAGAGGCCTCCAAGAGGTCCTCCAGCAGGGCCCGAAGAATCCAACATCCTTGATTATTCCATCGGTTTGTGTGTGTGTGGTGTGTGTGTGTGTTGCTGTTGTTATTATTGTTGTTGTTGTTGTTGTTGTTGTTGTGGTTGTTGCTGTTGCTGTTGTTGCTGTTGCTGTTGCCGCCCTAAAGATAACGCGTTATATGTGTGTTCCCCGCTCAAGTTCTTTGGCTCGAGCATGCTCGCGGGGAGTCCCGCGACCGAGCCCGAGGTTTTCTTCGTCGGTTCCCCGCGCGGCAGCAGCGCGGGCCATTCGAGCTGCTCGACTGGTTCCTCGTGGGAGCTGATCGAGTGCGGCTCCTTCTCCGAGGGCCGGGCGCTCGACCCGCGGGGCTGCGCGCCGGAGGGCGCATGCGAGACGGCGCGTCTTGGCTGCGGCTCGCTCGGGCTGCTGCTGCGGTCGCTCTTCGCCTTGGTGAGCGACTCGATCGTGGCTCAGGAGGTTGACGAGGAGCTGGACGTGATCGAAATTCACATGCCAGTGGAGCCATGGTCGCGCAGGTTCTACCGCAAGACGGCGACCGACGAAGTGGAGGTGCAATTGGTGAGGCGCAAGAACGGCAACATCTGGGCAGTGCTCACCCCGGACCTTGGACTCGGGCTGATCTGCATCGCCGCGAAGGCGTCCATCTTCGCGGACCCAGTGGCAGTGATTCGCTGGAGGCCAGTGCTGCCTTTGAGCGCGTCCCAGCGCGATGCCTACCTCCAGCAGGCGACGGAAGGCTTGCGTGCAGGGGCGGTTCCGACGCTCCAGCTCTACCGCCGGGGTCGTGCTGGTCAGCAGGCGATCGCGGTGAACGTGCTGCATGCCCTGTTCAGCTCAGGGGCGTCTTCTCTCAAGACTTTGAAGTGGTTTTGAGGAGTCCGAACCGATTCCTGGATGTATTGGCCGCCTTGTTCGTGTTGAACGAGGCGTTGGCGCTGCTCGCGGTGATCGAGTAAATGAAGGAGGTGTGGGTGGCGTTCGTGAGGTACCTGGTCGCGGCGAAGGATGCTTTCGTGGAGAGCTCGGACGTCGTGCAGGAGTGGCTGAGCTACCTCGTGGCGTGGAATGAGTGGGCTCAGAAGCTCATGCCGCTGCTGCGCTGGCTGGCCATGATCGTCGCGATGGTGCTCCTCACGGGCTGGGCGGCGCGCGATGTGTCCGACCACGCGGAGCCGGGAGAATCTTCGATCGGATCGTCCTCGGCCTCGAGTGTGGACGTGTCCGTCGGTCACGCGTCGTCCATGCAACCGCCATTGCCACCGCCCTTGCAGCCTCCTGGCGTGGACTCGTCGGCTTTGGCCGCCCAGCTGAGCGACCTCGCGGAGTCCCAGAAGGCCATGATGGAGGAGATCAGCGAGATGAGGACGGCAAAGCGGACCAGGGAGTTACGTCGAGGCGTGCTGAAGTCCTCTCTCGAATCGAGGGATCGTTCGGCGGTCGAGGCCAACCGTCAGGTCATCGAGGGCATGATCGCTCGTCTGGACAAGTTCGAGGCCCGCTTGAAGGGGGGAGGCTCCTGTCGAGGGCAGTGTCGGAGAGCGGGTTGCTACTATCGAGGGTTCGGGTGCTGCTTCGTCGGGTGCGGCGACTATGGGCTCGCCGACCAAAACGTCCGTGCCGATCTCGATGGAGACGCCGGAGAAGAGTGGCACCCAGTCCGCCAGAGGCAGTGGAGCTGGCCATCAAGCGGATGCGGTTCAAGGCCCAGCTGCCGCAGCAGGCGTTCATGGAGCAGCTGGAGGAGTATCAGGCGATCCCCGCCGAGGAGTGGAACAATCGCACACCCGAGGGGTATCGGCAGCGGATCTCCGCGGAAGTGCTGTCGGAGATCTACTCCTCTGGGAAGACGGCGGAAGGATGGGCTCGGGACTTCTTCTGGGATCGAGGGTTGACAGAGTGCAATACGGCTCGAGAGATGATCGCGGCGTTCGCGGCGTTGGACACGATGCTGATGACGGATCGTCAGAAGGGGCTGCTCAATCTGGTGAGCTTCGAACGCCTGGTGCGCAAGGGGTACGCCATCGTGCGAGCATATCGCAATGTGAACTACCGCGACGACTGGAGCCGCCCCAAGGACGCCAAGGGCTGGAAGTCAAAGGTGGACTGGGAGGCGGCTCGACGGCTGGATCCCCAGCTGGCGGACGAGAGCAGGATTCGGGTGATGAGTGCCGAGGAGGAGGTGAAGAAGGCCATGGTGCGGGACGCTCAGCTGCTGAAGGCGCGCGCCGACCTGGACAGGAGCTCGGTGGCCCCGCCGTGTCGCCCAATGAGCTTCAATTGGGGTCGCTCAGCTTCGCGCTGGCAGCCCCCTGCAGCTGGCGTGGTGCTCGTGCTCTACGTCGGCGCCTTTTGTTGCCCCAACTTTTTCTGCTGCAGCTGACGCTGGTCATCTTCGTCGGCTGTCACGCGAGCTATTACACGACGAATTGGGTTTTCCGTGTCTCGGCGGCGCGACGTCCTGTCCGAGGTGGTGTTGTTCTCGCGTCCGGAGCGCCCGAGCTCGACGTCTCGTCGGGTACTGTCGCGATGGAAGGAGGAGGTGGAGACGCTCGGGCGAGCCAACCGCTCTCTCTTGGCGCTGCGTCAACTCTACCGCGGGAGCTTGGACGACAGCCCCCTGGAGCTGGCCGAGTGCTGGGGACCGGGGGCTATGCCCGACAACCTGGACGGGGACCGCTCTCGGCGGGTGCTTGGGGAAAATCGTCGCCAGCAACCGCCGCCGACGACGCCCAGTCAGGGAGCCGCGATACTGCGGCTGCGCCCGGCCGCCTCGGCGGCGGGCAGTCAGTCCCAGTCGACCTTCAAGCAGAGGTTGGCCGAACTTCGGAGGAGGAGTGCTGGCAGGAGTGTGCGGCTGCCAGACAGGGGCGAGACCTTCCCCGCCCAGTGGGATCGGGTCGCTCTACCTCCCCCGGGGACCAGACCTGTGAGTGCGAGGTCTGTGTCGCCGCGGGTGGCACCGAAGTTGGAGAAGTTTCGGGGGGGGATGCTGAGGGGGGACGGCGACGCTTGCGTGCTGGCCTGCGAGGTGCGCAACGACGTGGGCCCTCACTTTCGAAAGAAGAAGAATAAGAAAAAGATGCTGCAACTATCACGAAGGAGGGCCCTGGCGGGGATGCTGTGTCGTACACCCGAGAAGGTAGACGAGGTCGGGCTGTTCTGCGTAAAGAAGAAGGCCGACCTGATCAACGAGGAGCCAGAGGTGACGCTCCGCCTGGTGTTCGACCAGAGGCGCTGCAACACGCGGTGGCGGGCTCCACCGTGGTGTGCGATGGGCGGGGTGAGTGCGATGTCGTTTCTGGACGTGTCGGAGGAGGTGAAGGAGGGCGGGGTGACCATGCGCTTTGGCACGGGCGACCTGCCCGACTTCTACTACAAGCTGGAGCTGGGAGAGGAGATCGCGCTCTACTTCGTGCTGCCTGGCGTTTCGGGGGGCGAGCTGGACGCGGTGCTGCCCGATGGTTCGCGGTCGCCTGGGAGCGGCGCCTACGTCGGGGTGGAGGTGGCGCTCATGGGCCTCTCGTGGGCGTGCTGGGTGGCTCAGACGACGATTGAGGACATCTTCAACGTGGGGCCGCAGGCTGGGCTGCCGTCACCGTCGGAGGGTCAGCGTCTCGCCGAAGGCGGGCCTTTGCCCCGGCTCAGCCGGGAGGTGCCAGCGGCTCACTACGAATACATCGACGACTTCGGCATCATCGGGCTGGACTACCCTGCGCTGCCGGGCCAGAAGGAGGTTACGACGGTGGAGGAGGTCTGGCTGGGGGCCAAGGAACTGGTGATGGCTGCGGGCTTCAAGGTGCACAAGGATGCGTGCTCCTCGGCAGCTCGCATGATCGGGGGCGACTTCGAGGGTACTCGGCTGGCCCCGAACCATGACAAGATGTGGCTCGCGGTCCTCGGCATCCAGGGGATCCTGATCAGCAAGTGGGAGTTGCCCGACTCGATCGCGCGGATCGTGGGCATCCTGTGCTGGGGATTCTTGATCTGCCCGAGGGCGCTGAGTATCTTCTCGGAGGTCTACTCGTGGTGCATGAAATTTCGCGGTGGGCCCAGGCGCGAGGTGCCGCGGGAGGTGCTGAGAGAGTTGGCAGCAGCGGCGGCCATCGTCCCCCTGATCGCGGTCGACCTGGCGATACCCTGGAACCCCACCGTGATGATGATCGATGCCAGTCTGTACGGAGGGGCCATCATCGCCACCTCGAGCACCGTGGAGGAGCAGCGTCGAGAACCTCAGTACGCTGTGCGAGGAGGCTGGACGGTGTGGACTGGAATCTCCTCCTTGTGGGTCGCGGACTCCTGATGCGAGGGCGAGGCTTTCAGGCGCGTGGGCAACGACGTGGAGTTGGGCACGCGCGCTCGAGTGCCGCCTGTGCACGAGTGCTGGGACGACATCACCCGATGGAGGGAGGTGGTGCGCTGGCGCTGGGAGGAGAAGGAGCACATCAACTTGCTGGAGATGCGCACGGGTGTTGCAGCGGCGAGGCATTCAGCTCGCAGTCGGGCGAGCTGGGGGAAGAGGCACCTGCGGATCATGGACTCGATTGTCTGCCTCGGCGGCTTCAGCAAGGGCAGGTCCGCGAGTCGTCCGATCCTGATCCTCTGCCGCAGGATGGCGGCCCTTGACCTCGGCTGCGGCATGCGCGAGCACTGGCGCTGGGTGCCTTCGGATCGCAACCACAGCGATTGGCCGAGCGAGAGACTTCGACACCGCGCTCAGCACCGCAAGATGGGCAACACGCGCCGTAGGAACGAGTCGGAGCGTGTGAACTCCCTGGGCCTGTCGCGGCAGGAGGGGCCGACTCGGGGGCTCGCCCTGCTCCCGTTCGGTCTCTAACAAGACGGCGCTGGGTTGACGTGCCCAATGTACGGCGTTTCCCGGACTTCGCCCTGAAGTGGGACCTGATTGACGACTCGGTTCCCTGCTACCTGGACTGCCTGGTGGAAGGCGAGGAGGTGGGTCCCCATGGGGGCGACTTCGTGGTGCATGGGCTCGCCTACGTTTGGCCAGAGCTGTCTACAGGACTGCCGAGGTCGAATCGTGCTCTACGTGCCTGACACCGACTGCATGTGGCAGAAGAAGGTGAGCCTCAACCGCTCGAGTTGTGGGCCGTGCTGGACGAGGCCATTGAGGTTGGCCGGGAACCAGGAGGCCACCGATGCCGCCGAGGTCGCCCTCGACGCTCACCTCGGGTCCGCGGAGCTGTTCGGCCTGCGAGCGGCCGACGTCGTGATCGACGTCGACTCGGCGGGCGAGCAGGTCGTGGCCCTTCGGCTCGGAGCGCCCGAGCGCGGCGAGCGGGCGAAGACGGGCACGAGGCAGGGCGTGCTGATCGACCGCGCGCACGTGGCCGACATGCTCGTGCGGAGGAAAGCCGAGAGGGCGCCGTCGGACCGGGTCTTCGCCTGCTCGGTGGACGCCTCCCGCCGCGCCCCGAAGCGGGCCTGCGACGACGTCGGCGTCGAGCGCTTCCCGCCACACGCCGCCAGGCACTCGGGGCCAAGCCACGACGCGGCGACCAGCTACAGGACGGAGTGGGCCATTCAGCGGCGCGGGCGATGGGCGAGCGAGAAGAGCGTGCTCAGGTACATGAAGACGCACGTTCTGGTGGCTGCTCGTGCCGCGCTTCCGCCCGAAGTGATCGAGCGGGGCGCCAGATTGCTGGGGAAGAAGGACGTCCGCCCGCTGAAGGCCAGAGAGTGAGTTTGAGATCAATTGATTGATGCCAACAGATTCGACGAGTCTCGATACTTTCGGCCAGCTACTGTTAATTGTTCTTTGTCTTGGGCGAGCTCGTGATCCCAAAGGCGGCGTCTGGAGGCGCTGCGTGACCCTCCCACCCAGACCCGAGTGCCTCCGACAGCCAGGCGGCGCTTTAGCCAGTCAAGCTGTGGGGTGGGACAGAGATTGGCGGCCTTGCATCTCGCTTGATTGGCACCCAGAATCGCACTTCGCCACCGCTCTTGGTGGCTTCTTGTTCACGTGTAGGGTGGAACAAGTTGTGTACAGTGGCTGGCGCCACCTCTCGGCCGCCCCTCGTCCTGGCGAGAGTCGGACCTGGAGCCTCTAAATGTGTGGTGTTGAATACAATGACTTGTTCGGGCCCTTGTCCTCTCACCTTCCCCCTCCCCCGCCTTCGTATCGGTCGGCGGGGGGGGAGGGGCGGGGGCGGTGCAAAGTGAGGTGGGGCCGTCCTAAAGATAACGTGCTATATGTGTGTTCTCCGCAGTTCTCCCTCCCTGTCCTTCCCTCGTTCGTTTCGCCCTTTTCTTCACTCCGCTCACTTACCCCACCCCAGGCCAATGGGGGCAGATATTGGCGGTCTTGCATCTTGTTTGATTGGCCGCCAAGATCACACTTCGTCACCGCTCTTGGTGTTTTCTTGCTCACGTGTAGGGTGGAAAAGGTTGTGCACAGTGGCTGGCGCCACCTCTCCGCCGCCCCTCGTCCTGGTGAGAGTCGGACCTTGAGCCTCCACAAAGGGTTTTGGCATTTGCTTCTTTTCGGCATTCCGACGGCTCAAGACGGCCCAAGAAGCCCCCAAGAGCGCCCACGAGGCCTCCAAGATGGCCCCATGACGGCCCAAGAGGCCGTCAAGACGGCCCCAATGGGGGGCCCAGGGGGCCTCCAAAAGACGACCAAAATGGCCTCCAGGACGGCTAAAATGGCCCCAAGATGCCTCCAAGACGGCCAAATATGCACCCAAGACAGCCTAAGATGGCCCCAAGCTGGCCCAAGACGGCCCAAGAGGCCTCCAAAAGGCATCCATGACGGCCCAAAAGGCGTCCACTAGGTCTTCCAGGAGGGCACGAAGAGGCCACAAGCATTGATTTCCCAACGGTTTTTGAAAGAGGCTCCAAAGATCGCCCACGAGGCCTCCCCAATGGCCCCATGACGGCCCAAAAGGCTCCCAAAACGGCCCCAAGAGGGCCCCAAAACAGCCCCAGAGGCCTCCAACACGCCCAAGATGGCCTCTAAGAACCCCTGATATGCCCCAAGAGGGCCCCAAGACGACTCAGACAGGCCCCCAAGACGGCTTCCGACGGCGTCAGGCAGGCCAGGAACGCCCTTTGACGGCCAAAGAGGCCCCCACGAAGCCCCCAAAGGCCCCCCCCAACCCTCCAAGAGGCCCCCAGGAAACTCCCAGGAGGCCCCAAGAGTGTGCCCCTAGAGGTGCCCATGAGGCCTCCTCCTCCTCCTCTTTCTTCCTCATCCTCCCCCTCCTCCTCTTCTTGCTCCCCCATGCGTTCCCCGAAGTCTTTCCAAACCGACTCGGGGAACAACTGGCCCGATAGCTTGGCCAAGCTCTGGCCCAACTGTCGGCCACAAAGGCGCTTCCAAAAGGGCAGGGGGCGGCGGTGATTCGCCGTAGGCGTCTTCGATACCAGAAATCCTCGTTACCTCACGTTCGTTGTCTGCATCCATTCATCCCCGTCGTCGTTTGGTCACGCCCCATCCATTGTTTCGAACATTTTGCTCGCATGTTTCAGGACTTTTCGATAACCGTGCTTCACTCGAGCGGGCGCAGTCCACACCTTGTCGCTCCATTCCCTGAATGTGGCCCAGTCGCACGATGGCGTTTTAAACTGTTGAACCGCCTCGTATTCGCTTGAAGGTTTGCTTCCGCCCTCTCTGGTCCGAATATTTCCATCAAAATCTACGGCCTCGGCGATCTTGGTAACATGCTCCGCGGCGGTCGTTTGGCTCTGGTTTTCTCTCCCCACTTTTTTTTTAAACTGATGAACTGTTCTTCGCAATACACGCTGCGGTTGGTGATAAGTATAAAACTGGCGTTTATTCAATAATTCATTTGGGGCGTTGTGCATGTCTAGTCGTTGTACACAGTTATGGTGCCTAGCGTGGCGCTGCGTTCGAAGAACAACCACATGTCTTCATGATTGGTTTTGGGCGGCGTGTTGACAAACATCATATCTCTGTTCCCGTACCCGCATTGCACAGTTCCGCGATTCGGTTTGTGCTCAGCTTGTTCCAGCCCTCTCGGACCTCGGATAACGTCACATCGAAAGACGGTTCGGCTGTGCTGGGACTCGGCTGGGCCGTCGCGGCTGCTGCCGCGGCCATCGTAAGGAGGCGGCTGTTTCGCGGAATTAATCGCGTGAGCTGGAACCCGTGGGACCCAGCACGGGCTCCACTACCATGAACATGTGGTAGGAACTTTATTCCCTGAAGGCAAACAATTCTTGAGCCAACTGTTGTTGACATAGGCCCAGGCAGCGATTACCAAAATGTGTCCCCGTGGCGTGACACATGTGCTAAACAACTGATACAAACACACAAGCCTATGTTGCCCACCCAATCGGAATACTACAATCTACAGCTGCTCCTCCTTCTCCTCCTCCTCTTTCTCTTTCTCTTCCTCTTTCTCTTTCTCTTTCTCTTTCTCTTTCTCCTCCTCCTCCTCCTCCTCCTCCTCCCCCTCTCGCCTCCTCATTCTCCTTCTCCGTTGCTAATCCTCCCTCCCCCTCCCCTCGCACTCTTCCTCCGTGCCCCCATCCCCGTCAATTGTTATTCCTCTTCTCCACCTCCTGCTCCTCCTTCTCCTCCTCCTCCTCCTCGTCCTCCTGACCTCTCTCTACCTCTCTCTCTTGTGTCTTCTCTCTCTCTCTCTCTTTCTCTATTTCTATGTTTCTCTCTCTCTCTCTCTCTCTCTCCGTCTTTCGTTTCCTCTCCCTCTCTCGCCCTCTCCCCCTCGAGTTCCCTTCCTCTCCCTCTCCCTCTTATTCAAACAAAGATGGTCGAATGTTCCTTGTGAATACCAGTACTCTGATGCATACCATGTCGACTTGGTAAGTGCTAGCCAATCGGCGTGACACAAACACACACACACAACATCCCCCTCATCATCCCGCTCCACCTTCTCCTCCTTCCGCTTCTACTCCTCCCTCTCCTCCTCCTCCTCCTCCTCCTCCTCCTCCTCCTTCTCCTCCTTGTCCCTAAGCCCCTTTCGGGCCCGAGGGTGGCCGTTAGGGCGGCGCTCTTGAAATTGGGCGCAGCCGTCCGGAGCCGCGGCGCGGCGGCCATGGAGGATCGGAGTGGCAACCGATGGTGTCGGCGGTGAGCTCCGCCAGATGATGGTGGCCAAGGTGACGCATCCGGGGTCAGCCGATGGCGTAGGCGGGCAACTCGTTTGGCATTCTCGTCCTCGAGAAGGGCTCTGGCGCTGCCCAGCGGGGTGCGGGAGGTGCTGCGTGGAGCTGGTCGGCGGTCCGGTCTTCACGTCGGTGCGTCGCAACTGGAGCCCAACTTCGACAGGACGAACGGGTCTGGCGCCTCTCCAGGAGGTGCGGGAGGCGAAGCTGGCACTCAAGAGCAGCGAAGAGACGTCGCAAAAGGACGGGATGTCTTGAAGGTTCTGGGGGGGGAGGTCTCTCTTCGGTGCCGTCCATGGGTTCGGCCTCCCCTGCGCTCGGGCGGGGGTGGGTGGGAACTCAGGGTGCGCCTTTTGGCGCTGTCTGCGGTTGCAGGCTCCGTGCGGGGACCGCCCCCCCTCGCGGGACGCGAGGGGTCTAGACCCATTCCTGTTCACCCGGTTCACCCTCCTCCTCGTCCCCCTCCTCCCCCTCCCCATCCTCCTCCACCGCCTCCTCCCTCGTCCCCTTTTCCTTCTCTTCCTCCTCCCCCTCCTCCCTTCTGCCCTCCGCCCCACCCCCTCGCCCCCCGCCCCAGCTCCTCGTCCTCGAGGCTGGCCTGGAGTCTCCTCATCTGCTCGCAGCCCTCCCGCAAGTCCTGAGGCCACAGGATTGCGCCCGCCACGCACCAGGCAACGGGTGGCGGAGGTCGGTAGGGCGGGAGGAGGGGGGGGGGCATTGTTGGGGGGAGGGCGAGGCAGGCGACGGCGACAAGGAAGAGGAGGAAGAGGAGGATGAGGAGGAGGAAGAGGAGGGGGCAGCGGAGGGCGGGGGCAAGTGAGGGCGGTGTGTGTGTGTGTGTGGAGCACGAGGTGGATGAGCAAGGGGCGGGGGAGGCAAGGCGGCGGCGGGACCAGGATATGGGGAACGCGCGAGGTCGAGGGGAGAGGAGACAGACGAGCAACAACAACATCAACAAAAATGTAGCGCAAAACACGGCAAGGGGCGACAAACAAGAGGACGAAACGGACGATTTTTCGCCGACCGACGGAATCGAAGGATGACAAGATGTTTTCGCCTCTAGTCGCACCAAAGTTCCACAACAACTGTCCACGCAATATAGAAAGAGAAGTTGGGGAAACCGGGAATGGGAAGTAGGGTGGGCGTATCAGAGAGTGGGCGACAAACAGCCTTGAGCCAAAGTGATTTCGGCAACACTCAACTCCCTACTATGCTGCTTCAATCCAAAAAGGGCTGTCCAGATCAATGAGCCGGATGCGCTCCTTCCCACAGTTCCCCGAAAAGTGGTGGACTGAACGCAGGAGAATATGTGCGCGCAAAACACTTGGCCCTCTTGCGGGAAGAGGGAAAGGAGGGGTCAACACTCGAACTCGAGCGCGCAGGCACCATCAAATATTCTCGCTGTCGAAGCAAATATATGCTGCGCAAGCTCTGGCCTCCGGGCGCTCTCCTGAAGAGCACTCGCCGGTGCGAGCGAGCTTTAGCCGCAGCGCGCAAACGATGCGACTGAGAGGGTGCGCCGCCTCTCTGCTTCGGGTACCGTGACCGGCAGAGAGGAAAGAGAGAAGGGTGCGATAGGAGTGAGAGACAGAGGGAGAGAGGGAGAGACAGAGAGAGAGGGGGGGAAAAGATACACGGCGCACCTATTCCAGTTGCCTTTTCGAGGCGGTCCGTAACCGATTTCTCGAAGCGGGCTTCTCCTTTTCGGGCCTGAAGCGACTCGCTCTCGGCTGTGAGTCGCAGCATCACTGACTTGAGAAGGTGAAGCTGCGCCGAGTTGGTCTTGGCCAGAACCGATTTCGTGAGGCAATCTACTGGCGTGAAAAGATGTGACATCCATCGCATGGGGGCCCGATCAGTTCCATGGCCCCTCGACTGACGGCCAGATCGATCGCGGCTCGACGATCTGATTTGGCCCCCGACGTGAGCTTGGATAGTGCGTCGTAGATCACCTCGGGGTCCACCGCGCTGAGATTTCCCGCTGGCTGCGGAGGGCCTAAAACGCGACGCTGCTCCGAATCGCGAATGCTCTCAGGTTCTCCCGCCACCTTTCGTTCGCCGCGCCCCCGCGGGCGACGTCCAGCGGGGGTATCTGGGGCCGCCCAGCTTCTCCTCGGGCGCTCGACAGAGCAAGAGTCTCCCCGGCTAAAGTAGAGGCGACCTGTCTCTTCAGTTTGCCGGATCTCCAGGCCGCGGGAGTCGCTCTGGCCCTCGCACCGCGAGCCAGGGAATTATCGGCAACGTAGACTTGCCAAGCCTCCTGGGGGTGCCGAGGTCCCCCCTCATGTTCCGCCCCGACCCCCCCGCAGTCGCGAGCGGTGGCCACCGCAAAGCCGCCTGGCTTAAAACGCCAGACTGTGATGGGAACGGAGGCCGTCGACCTGAGGTGATCGACCATCTTGTTGGCCTCCAGAAGGTCTTTCACTCTGCGTCCGTTGACCTTCGTGGCCCAAATTGAAGCCGCCCCCGCGGCCTCGGCCCTGGTCTCCCGCACCGCCCACTGAAGTTTGCAAACCAGGGGCCGAAGGGCCACCGCCCCCCCCCCCCCCCCGCGAGAGGAGCGCTATCATAGCTTCCTCTGCGCCCCCGGGCCAGGATTTTTTTGAAGTTGTTCCAGGATGTATTTCTTGACCCGCAAAGATTCGATCTCCCATCATTCTGAGCCCCCTTCATATATAGTCGACTCCCGCGGAACCCAGGCGTTTTATTTTCCAAATGTGAATCGTTTCTGCAAAGGCTCCAAGAAGTCTTTCTCTCATCCCTACTGGAAAGGCCAGTGCCCAGTCGTCGACTTCCACGAGCACCTGAGGTTTGAGTTTTCCCGAGGACCTTTGAGCGAACCAGCAGGGCCCCAGGCGGGCCCGCTCGAAACCCTGGGGCCCCATGCAATTCGCCGTGGTCCTGTGGAATGCCAGCGGCGCGTGATCTAGGCCATGCGCGGGTGCGATCAGCTCGATGGGAGACCCTGGCGGCGCCGGGGCTCCGTCGCGCGGTTACACGAGGACTCGGCCTCGCGCTCTCTCAGAGGGTTCGGATGGGCAGAAAATATTTGAGATGTCTCCGATGCATATGACGAGCCGGCACATCGGCGCCGTGACCAGAAATCACATCGGGGATTATATGCAAGGAGTGGGGGCGCACACCTAAAACCCGGCGGCGTCTTCGCCCTGGTGTCCCCGAACGCGCCGCCGCGAATTCGCCCTGTGCCCAAGATTAGGCCCCCCCCCGTGGTTTCCACCTCCTCGCCATCCTACTTTTGCGCTATTCGATTCGGAAAACAACCCCCGAGGAGCGTTAGCTTTGTCCGGAGGGTGAACAATGACCGCCTTGGTTCCCTCGGCAATCGCGCTCCACGCGGCAGCGTCGGACGCATCGAACACTTTCTTCTCGTCGGGAGAGAGGCTCTCATACTGGACCTCGGCCCCTCTGTTGACGAGAAAAGACAAGGCGCACTTGCCGCTCGAATGGGGGGCGATTTCCACGTCGGCGTTTCCGTTGGCGCATTTGTCCACGGAGCTGCCCCATCCTTACAGCTGAGCCTCGCGATTGAATTCTCGAAGAGCGTCTCCCTCCTCTCGGGGGAGAGTTAAGGTGGACTCATCACCTTCCCTCCTCGGAGAGTGGGGGCGCTCTCTCCCTGAGTCCTCAATCTGGTGGATCTGCTGCCTCGCTCTACCTCGCTGATTCCCCCTGGAGTGATTCCCCGGGCCCTCAATGGCATTCGACCCCTTCCCCCGTCAAGTCGTCTTATGCCTTCCGAGACTTGCGCGGGGCGCATGGGCCGACCGGGGTCCACTAGCTCCGCCGGGCGATGCTGGCTGGCAGAACCCGTCAGAACGAGCCTGGGAGCACTGCTAGTCGGTCCTTCCGACGCGTCCGCTCCCGGAGCACTGCTGCCAGCTGAGGGGGCGTTACTATCGCTTTTCCCCCCCCCAGGGGTGGAGTCAGCTTGCTTTTCCTGGAACCCTCGTCGTCATCCTCCATCTCGGAAGCCTTCCTGCTGGTCGTTCTCGACTGACTCGCCAGAGAGGGCCCCCCCCTGAATCGTCCTCCACGGAACCCAGCCTGGACGCTGGTGGGCGAGTGTCCTCTGAAGAAGCTTCTAAGGTCTCGAACTCAAGAGTCGGTGGCAGACCCGGGGGCGGGGCGAGGGGAAGAGCTCCTGGTTGTCCCCCAATGCCTCCGTCCTCGGACGAGATCCCCGGGGGGGGGGATAACCTCGGCCTCTTCCCGCGCCCGGCTTCCGAGTCGGCCTCCACCGCGGGGGCTCGCTGCCAGTGGCGGGGCGATCTCGGCCAGGCCACCAGGGGCCCAGGCTTGGGGGGGCCCTTCGCTCGCAGCGTTGGTCCCAGCTCGATGTAGACTGAGCTTCCCTGAGAAGAAGTTTGACTGACGTGTCTGACATGATCTCGGCTCCTTAGAGCTCCTCGGTGGTGGCGAGGCGTACTTGTTCTGTTGAGAAGTCCCACCATCTGGATCATGGCGACCCACGCTGAGGCACCGCCCTGCAAGGCAACTCGGCCTGGGCCCACCCATCTCTCTCTCTTTGGAGAGCAAGCGTCTCCTTTCCCCCCCTCGGAGCTCGTCGCCAAACGTAAACCCACTGGCCCGACGCGAGATGACGGTCTCTATAGACGGGGGCGTGGGCGGCCTTGGCCAAGCGACGCTAATTTGAATATTCAAACACCTCCCGTCGCGAATGTCGCCTGATAGCTTCGCGACGAGCGAATTCCACAGCTGCCGCGTCCTGATCCCATATGCCAGGAGACAGGTCGTCGGTTCCCACCACCTGCAGTGGGTCATCAGACGTGCGATAATTTTGCATTATTGGATTGATCCCGAAAACCAAATGGTGGGTGGTGTAGCCGCCACGGTGTAATCATCGGCTCTTGGCGGCGGTGGCCTCGCGCAGCAGCGTTTCGAGTTCCGGCGCGTTGGTAACGAGGGTGGTCTCAGATGATTTGACCAGACTGTCCTTCACCCATCCCCCGTGTCGTTCGGCCCTACCGTTCTGCCAGGGACTCTCCGAGTCCGTAACATGATGAAATGCTCCCAGGCGTTCCAGCCCTCTCTCGAAATGTCCCTTGAATTCCCCCCCCCATCCGTCGGTTATCGCAAAAAGGGGGTGCCCGAACGGTCTGGCCTGGGCCCTGATGAAGGCCTTCCAGGCTCCCAGAAAGGTTCCATCGTAAAGCTCCACCACTCGAAAGATGGTTCCATGACAAATGTTGAAGAAGGCCGGCTGTTCCTCTTGCCGCGCAATCTCCGCACTGGAATTCCCCCTAGGCGAATTTAAGGACCGCGGGTTTGGCTTGCGCCGTACCGCTGCTAGTAACATGGGGGCATCTACAAGGTCAATTTTGCGAGAAATCTCCGACACCCCAGGGGAAGGAATGGAAACTGTAACCAACTTAGTGGGCGACCTCTCTACAGAAATTCTTTTTCCTTCCAGGACCATTCGAGGATATGCGCTCTGTTCCCCAGGACGACACCTACGACGACAAGTGCCCGACCACGGACGGCAGTTCTCAAATCCGAGGGACTCGAACCAGGTAGTAACGACATCCATTGTCATGCTATAGTTTCAGATTTCGGCTTAGACGTAAACCGACAAAACAAAGACCAACAGAAAATAGT